GCTCCGTGACTCCCAAAGATGACAAAGCCAAGAAACACTACGCTTGCAGCGTACCCAGGTGGGCAACCGAGCTTTCAAAGGGTCAGAGGAGTAGTCATGGGAAGAGTGGATGAAGGAGTTGGGATGACTGAAAAGGAGAAGGCTGGGGAGACAGAGAGATACACATGCCAGGGACATGCGTACACGTGTACACACACGAACTCTGTCATCCACACGTAAAAGGCCATCGCACAGAGGAAAGAGATTTGTGCTACACGTCCCTGGGGGTTAAAAACCAAGGAAATCCAACATTCATTCAACAACCACTTCCTGGTCACCTAATCTATGCCAGATGTCTGTGCCATACTAGGACACAAGGGGCTTTCAGCAAGTGCCACCCTCAGGAGGATGGGACCTAGCAGGGGAGACAAAGCATGGCAAACAGAAGGTGCCAAGGACTCGGAGCTACAAGAACACAGAGCATGAGGGCCATGCTCCACTCTGAGGGAGGGAGCTGGTAGAGAAAAAGCCACTGGCCAGATGAGGAGTCTCAGAGGCAGGTACACAGGCGGGACGTGGTTTTTCCTGGGGAAGGACGGACGCCGGGAGCCTAGGCGTGGAGACACGCTGTGGGATACCAGGTACACCCCTGGCAGGGGTGGCCAGCAACGAGGCTTTAAATAGGGTGAGGAGGCAGCAGTGAAGAACTCTAGGAGCCTCCCGAGCCCCTCAGCCAAGGAGTGTAGACTCCTAGCACCTGAGCCCAGGAACACTAAGGGGACAGTGAAGCGCAGACTGGAAAGCTCACAGCAGTATCTCAGAAAGCTCATTCCAGGAGGAGGACGGGCTCCTGGAGGGAACAGGAGACGAGGGGATGGATACGGAGTCACCAGTGTTGCTCCTGCTGGGAGGGAGTTGAAAAGACACAGAAACAGATGCAGGGAAGATCGAGGACGTCAAAATCAAGACCATAGGGTTGGGAATGAAGCCCAGAAAGTCTTCTGGATGCCGGCCTGGATCAGGGGATGAATGGAGATGCCTGAGGCAGGTAACACAGGAGGACGAAGCCATGCAATCACTCCAGTGAGAGCCCTTGGCCAGGCACTGACCGGTACCATCTGGGGAGAGGGCTGAGGCAAGAGGAGCAAAGAGTTTACCTCCTGCAATGCAGGAGCCTATCCGGCGAAGCTGCTGCGGGCATGAGAACATGAGCCCACCAGAGCAGCTGAGGACAAGTGAGGGCGGACAGGACAAGCTGACCTCACACTCCAGTGCCCAACGAACGTGCCCAACGAACGAGCGCGAGAAACACCTCGGAAAACAATGAAGGTGTGGTCGGAAAAGCGTGGATCAGAAATCGGGTGAGCCCAAAAAAGACAAGGGAAGAGGAAAAAACTTGAGGCTGGGCAAGATGAAAACTGCAGGTGAATGTACCTGCAGAAAGCAAAGATTTCCAGCAGAAGTTACTCAAAACAGGAAGGGACTACCTTGGGAGGTAAGAGATCACCCTGCCCTGTGAATGAAGTGCTGATGCTCACTCCAAATGGAGAAGGCCTGCAATGTTCAGGCCCTGGTCATGCCACCACCACCCCCAAGGTCCCCAGTATCTTCCCAGTCATCTGCCCGCCCTCCCTCCCTCCCTCCTAAACCAGACCGTGTGCCTACTCTCGGCCCACCCCCACCTTCACGCTTTCCTTTGTCCTGCACCTCCAGGTCTGCAGGTCTACCTTAAGTCGAAAAACACCTCCCACTTACCCTGGTCCCACTCCTGGATTTTTCTCTGCCTCTGTACTACTGAACATCCTCACTCCCTTACCCTCGGCTCACTAGACTCCCTTACGGGAGGAACAGAGTGGATCACTCCACAGACAAACAGAACCCCGGAAAACAGCCTGAGCTGTGGCCCGCCTACTCCCGCTGCTGCTTCTGCAGGTCTCTGTTCCCTTGCTCTCTCCGGGCGTAGGTGACAGGTGACGGCCTTCGGCCCTCATGCTACAGTCGTCCCTTTAGCTTCTGCAATGAGGCAGAGTGGCTGACAGAAAGCGCTCTGCACTGAGAACCGGAAGATCTGTGTTCTAGGTGCAACGACACCACGAATGAGCTACCCTTCTGCCCTCCCCTCCTATTTCACTTCTGCTGAGACTCCAGACGGCCAGACTAGGTGTGCATTTTCTCAAAGCCTAGCTGTTGTCTTTGTGAAAAGGCTTATCAAGATTACTTGATGACGGATTAGCAGTCAAGTCTTCCCAATTTAACACCAGACCGTAAACTCCATGAAGTCAGAGCACCAGCCTTGTGCCCCTTCGGGGCAAATCAAAAACCCATCAACTGAATTTAGGCTGAAGCAGATGTTAAGACCACTTCCTAAAAGATTGACGTTATTCTAATTCACCTAAGTTTAAAAATAAAACAAAACAAAAATAAAACAAGATTACTGCCAAAACGTTAACCAGACATGCTTCCAATAACCTCAACACGCATAACACAACGAACGACATAAAGTTAGACAAGAGTAATAAGAACTCATTTCCTACACTCCTTCTCATCCAAAGGAGAAAGACGGGGCCGGCGGTGCAGTGGCAACACCAGATGCTCCACGAGGCTCACGTGGGAAGGCCCTGGGTTTGTACCCAGGCACTCACAAGCTCACAGGCAGGGCTCGCTGAAGCTGGGGGTGGCTCGCAGCATCAAAACGCTGTTGGGGATACATGCTGTCTCTGTCTCTCTTGCTATGGGACAAAGAACTAAACACGCTCTTAAAAAATAAAAAGAAGAAAGAGCGGTATCAGTTACTTACATTTCAGGACCAAAACGTGGGTTCTACGTCACGCACAGGCTAACCTAACCGTACAAGAGGAAACCATGGCCTAAGAAACGCTCAGTTTCCCATGAAAACACTGCTTCCTGTAGCTGTTTAATAATACTGTTGTCTTCGACTCTTTCCTTTAACGTTGCCCAAAGCGATGACCTGTCTATGCATATACTCTGCAAGAAAATCAAGTTTATTGGCCAAGTTACATTGCACTGTGACTTTAAATATTTCATAGAAATCAGGGGAAAACAGAACGGGTTTAGTGACTCCAGAGTGCCACTATGCCTGATCAGATGACTTTCAAATGTAAAAATGTTCCTATCTCGTGGCGGAAGGCAAAGCCATGTCAAGTTTTACTATAGACCACCTTGGTCAAACAATTTTAACAGATTACCAGCCAGTTCGTCCTTCAATTCACGTGTCCAGCTTCTAATTAAACCATATGGTCTTAGAAGGCAGCGTGGGGTTTTGTTCATTGGCTCCCTTAAGTAAATAGGAATGCAGGTAATCTTAGTAATCTCTGGTATTGAAAAAGAAAATTCGAACATGGCTTTTAGGGTTCAATATATTTTTTACATTGCCACTTGAAAACAACGTCCCAGCACTTAAACTCCGACGCCGAGACGATTCCCTGGGTTAAGAGTGGTTAACAGGCTGTAAAGGCAGCCGTGATCCCCAAGAAAGAAGAGGCATTCCTAACGGAAACACCGCCCGGCAGAATCACTCGGGCCGCCCCCCAAGGCGCCCTCGCCGCGAAGTCAACACCGCCGGCTGCAAGCGGCGACCGTGCCCCCGACACCCCCTCTCGACCGCAGCCCCGGGTTCCAACCCTGCGTGAGGACTCCCTGGAGACCGGCCGGCGCGGCCCTGGGCCCTGGGCCGCCGGGCGATCCCGGCCAGGCGCCTCGTCCAAGCCCCCTCCCCTCGCTTTCCAGAAATTACTGAACCGCCGCGCGGCTGTTGGTTTACCGCGGTGTGCGGCGGCCTGTGCGGGCGGGCGAGCACCGGAATGCCCCACTCGTACAAGTGGGATGGGCCGGGGACGCGCGGGTGAACCTGCCCGCGGTACAAAGCCGCCCGGCCCGCGCCCTCCCTGCGGCCGCTCGGG